AACTGATGAAGATTTGTGCCTCAATAAATAAATAAATTTGTGCCCCAAGTTTACAAAATGTTTCTCTATATTTATGTTTACTCAGCATGATTGCTGAAACATCGTTCGGTTTAGCAACTGGATTATCTTATTACTCGAAGTGTATTTTAAACTGTTCCTGGTCTTTCGATATTCATAGATTTATCTGGCCAATGGGTATAGATCTGCTCAAAGATAGTTCACAATCAATAACACTCAATGACGACTCAAAGGAAGCCTTGCTTACTAACACTGGGAAAATGTGATCTTTGATGGCTATATAATCAATGTGGCTAAACGAATATCGCCAACAGGCGGTGGTTTTGCACCAACAACCGCTCTATCCGCGCCTCTTGATCCTCATAGGACCCGATTTTTTCAATGGTACTAAAAAATAAATACAAGGATAAATTTTGTCTCTAAACTGAAGTTTACTTTCCTTTTGTTTCAACTTGCCTTTGCTCACGAGGGAACCCCACGACATGTAAAATTGCATCAATCTTGTGTTTTTATTTTATGATTATTTAGGGACTGAGGTTTGAGAACATCAAGATTAGCACATTGAATCTGCAAATGTATGGAAATTTTTATCTAAACAATCCAGATCGCGTATGTAATAGCTAAAAAATTTCAAAATCTTATGGATGATGAACATCAAGGTTTAAAGGGAAACAGATTTGATTCATTAACAAATACCGGTAGATTCAATGGAATCAGATTTTTCATCAAATAACTTTCTTCTCCTGCTACTTCAATGTCTGATAAATTGGTGTTAGTTATCTCAGAACTGACAAAACAGTGACTGTAAAAAAGTGTTAGGGGGTGTGTTATGAATCATCTATCGGGAAATCAGACCTTCCCTCGTATATTTCTTCGGATTCTTCTTCGACCATTGTTTTTTCATTGATCCATCCATCCATTCATTCATTGATTGTTTTTTCACTAACCTTGATCAGCAAATTTAAAGATGTCTCTATATTCCTTTGAAACCAGAAGGTGCTTAGTGATAGATAAAGCATGAACATGGAGATTTCAAAGGTGAACGAAATATGTATTTATTAAAAATAGACGATAAGATCAAGCGATATAGGGAAAAGTTTAATTGAATTTTTCCGTTTCCAATTCCAAAGCTTTAAACGTGTGAAACTAGGTGATAAAACTTCGAGGGAGAATTGATTTTATCAAGATGTGCACTTGGAAACAATGCAGATTGCTTATGTAACAAAAAGATGACAACAATTAATAGTGAATAAACATTAAAGAGGAACATAAATTTGCCTCTTTAACAGATAAAATCAATATATATACATGTAATTTGCGAATTATTGTTCCATAATTCATGAATTCTGAATTCCAATCCTTCAACATTGCATCTAACTTATCGATTTCATACATGAAAAAATAGCCGATAAAATCAAACAATATGTGACAGTATTTATTCTTTGCCTTTTCCATTATTAATCAGTCGATTCCAACCCTTTTAAGGTGTCAAATTAGACGATAAAACTTTGAGGGAGATTCGAGATTCGATATCAAGATGTACTCATGCAACATGAAAGTGCATTGAAATTTTTAGCTTAACGTTACATATCACTTTTGTATCGAAAAGTTATGCCTTAATTTTTCGATTATTCATTCGTCAATTCCAATCCTTCAAAAGTACCAGCTAAGTCGTAAAACTTGTCAATTCTTGTAAAATGATTAAAATGTGTTTCTCGTGTTTATTCATTTTTATCTTTTTCACTTCTCAAGTTGAAGCTAATAATTCATGCAATAATTAGTTTTTTACTAAAACATATTGTATATCGAGTAATGGTTCTGATGTTTGCTCAAACAATAATCTAATTACAGCTCAGTTCAAAGCGATTCCAGTCTTTGGTGAATATGATCATCTTCAACTAACATTGAAAGGTTTTAATGTAGCACCAGATGATGAAAAGACACTCAAGGTGCTCATCAAACAACTTACTGTTCTTGGAAATACATACACTTGTTATACAGGGTGACAATTCATAACCGAGAGACTTTTTTTCGAGATAACTGCCGAACGGTACATGCAGTAGCCCTCATATTTTTTTCTGGGCATTAGGGCCTCAAAGGTAAATGTTTGGGCTACTTTGCAGAAATTCGAAAATTTTGAAATTTCTATGGGATTTTACATAGAAAAATAGAATTTATTAGAAAAATTGGAATTGCGAGCTCCAAAGGCGATTTTTCTGAATATCGAATGTATCATCTGAATAAATGTGTT